TAAAATTACTAATGCAATTGCGTAATTTCTCGTCTTCATCGCGCTAACAAATTCTATGTGATCACAAATCTCTGCTGCTCATTCAAACGTCAATCAAAAAGTAACGAACTACTTACGAAAACGTTCGCTAGACCAACTGGCAATGAAATAATGGCCAGTTGAATATTTCGAATCCACACAGATACTTCGGAACCTTTCAATATTTTCTCAAAATATATTCCAGCAAACCCTGAAATCGACAACTCAGTTACAATAACAACAATAATAATAATATCATCTAACCATCAAATTTCTGAGTAACAAACAATGCAACAACAATAATCTTAAACTTAACTGAAATAAGGATGAACGATAAAAACAATAACGATAACAGTGACCTGACAGAACGCATGCCACCAACACTGCAATCAAGCCCTTGATCGGACTTTGCTCAGTGAGATGTTTATGTTGACTTTGTACAACATTGGTGATATTGTTGGCAGCATTAAACGCTAAACTGTTCGTGTCATTATTCGACATCGACATCGATTTCGCTGCCAGTGCAGATGCTTTCGCTGCTTCTTTTGCGTTGTGTTCATCCTGAACGTTCAATTATGCAATACTTCTATCAATATAGCCTCATACAACAAACACTTTATTCGTACTCTAAATTAATGACTCTGAGATGTTACCCAATCACTTAAACAAAACACAAACACTGCTATAAGCACACATCAAAACATCATTATTCTACCACCCGACTCCTTTTCAAACTCTCCTAAAACTTGTTGTATGAATCGAATCAAATTCTCACCAACTGCACTAATGCAACGCCAGCAAATAACAAAACCAATGCTACCCATTGTACCAGTGATAAACGCCTTCGTAATATAATCACTGTGAACATTGCAGTTGTCAATATTTTCAATTGATACGTAACCTAAAACAACTTTATCGATTCAATCTGTAACGTCAACGATAATGATAACAATAACAACAACAACAATAATAGAAACAATAATAATCGAATCAAAAACGAAAATAAGGAACCATATAGGTGGCAGCAGGCAAGTTGGATACAGCCACATACAATAAATTATTCTGCAGCACGTAAATGGTTGCTGGCACACACACTTTCAGCGTGTCTATCGGTTGCATTATGATTTGTTTCACCATTAACCTCAAACACCTGAAGAAGAAGGATAAAGCGACTTTTTTTGCATCCAACTCCTCANTACAGAACATTTGCTTATTTTCATCAAAACTTGTATAACCTCATTCATTATGAATATAATATCAAAGAAATATCCTTATGGAAAGGATGAACATCGAAAGTAAAAATGAAATATTCAGTGAAATTCCAAAGCAAAAGGCAACATTTGCATAAGAACCAACTTGATCACGCTCATTTCCTCGAAGCAAACAATCGCAAAGCAAGTGAGCAGCTTCACAATCTCTGTCACCAGCACCGCCACTGTCGATAAGAACATCTCTCGCGGTCGTGTTCTCACATAACGCATCACCAAAACTTGTGACGCATTCTGCAGCACCAATACGATCAGCGATATGTATTTGATAGCCGTTTCTGAAATCAATTCATTCACTTTCCATTGTTTCAACTAAACTTCAAATTGAACGATGTTCTCTTCTTTGAATTATTTCAAAGAAATTTGAATTACTTTTGACTTATCAACGAATATTCGAAATCGTATAAAACGAACCTTTCTTCCTAACGATAGCAGTTTTTTTGACACGAACTCGTGATGAATGATTCTTTGAAGCACCGTCATCCGATGACATTCTTATCTTAAATTACCATTCTTACTATTAATATTATCCGGTCTCCGAGCCTCGTTCAGATAAATTCACAAGTTCTCACATTCACTGTGAATGAGACAACGAAATCGACAATCGGATGTATAGGGATACCAATCCGGATTTCATTCTTATCCGTCCAAATCTATTCGGCGTAATCATAGGAGAGATTAAGTCTAATCCAAACACGAGACATTAAAACTCAAGTAGATATCTTAATTGCCTCGATTAAATACATTCAGCGCGTATGAAACTAATAACGTCTTATCGAATGGAATGCTCAAAAAACAATTCGATGTGAACAAAAAATTCGATTCAACCAAAACAAACGATAACATTCACACTTGAATAATCATCACAGCAATAAGACATTTCTCCGCGAGAGGTGGAAATGGAATAATTATTTGCTATAAATCATAACACAATGCACATATCCTTCTTGACTATACAGTTAACGCGAAATAAGCATCATATAATATATAATCATATTAATAATGAATGAACACAGAGAATGATAATGTTGAATATATTTTAATAATAATGACAACAGGAATAATAACAATAATGATAGCAATAAGAATGATAATAATTACAACGTTAACATTAATAATGTTAATAACAATTATAACGACATTAAATAAAGCTCATCGAAACAATGTAGGACGACACATAATCAATCATCAATAAAAACCAACATGAATCTCTAACGCAACGTGGCATGAGCTATTCAACTCTATTCAGCTCTTATGTACTATTTTGATAATAATCACAATAATCATACAAGTATATACGATAATAATCCTACGAATTTCATATCAAAAACAAAGCTAAAGTATATTTATTCCTCATACAAAAATCACTTCTGTATAATCTCATCCTGCATTCATCCACTCGTTTACCTACGAAGTGCAGCAACGATACAAATGAAACATTCATAAAAAATAATCGATACTGGACAGGTATTTTTTAGAAAATGGAACGGTACTCATTATATGATTGGTATCTAAGAATTTGGTGATAAAAATAAAATGTGGAATTGATAACGATAAGAGAATGATAAGGATATCTGACGTGATCCTTCATCGATAACAATGACAGACATTAACATAACGAGAGTGATAAGATAACAGTGAAGTTTTTATCACTGAACTGATAAAAATAAAAAATTAAAGAGAAATGAACGCGCTAGAAGGATAAATATTTCGTAGACGATTGCATAATTTTTGAACAAAACGGAAGATGGGTGGTACGCGAAAAAACTTATCATAAATGGTTAAAGTTTAAGTGAAAGTAATTTGTTATTTTATTTTTACATAGTCCTTTAAANCACAGTGTAATGATGGATAAAATACGAAATAATGAACTGTAGATATTATACGAACACTGATGTCTAAACAAATGAAGAACGGAAGAACATTGCCGATTAAAACTAAATAAGTGTGCGTTCTTTGATACACCACATATTGAAATCGATAGTTCATCAAAATTATTACCAATGAATATCAATATTAAATATATAATGCAAGTATTACTATTATAAATAATGTATTTTATATCATCAATATCGGAATCAAAATCAAAACAACCTAAATCTGTAATCAACTGCGAAACTAAACGAGTGCATTCCGATAAGGGAAGTGATAAACGATGAGGACTGATCAGTACAGCAATTCATCGAAAAGTCAGTTGTTTATGAGGAACATAGTGCCAGCAACATCATACCTTGCTCTCTGATACTACAGGCTCAAAGTAAGCTTGTACTACAGGCTTAAAATTCGATATGCTGTTCAAACCTAACGAACGAAATGAGCCACATACAATCACACATATGATAACTATGATATCAGTAATTAAACAAAATTTATCGTCATTAAGGCTGAATGGTGGATACCCAACACTTACGAGGTCTCGGGGCTTCCGACTCTCGGAGTTTCAGTCCTATTCCCAGCCCTTGGGGACCTCGAGCTCGATCCAAACCTAATCTACACTACTTGGATGCGCGTACTCCATCATACTGCTGCCAAATGCGATATTTAATAGAAGATATCGTATGCGTTTCAACGTGGATTACACGTGGAACAATCATGTGACGTTTTCAATGCACAAAAAACACATGTGAACATAACACCAGCAATCGATTCAAACAGTCTTTAAAATAAAACTGTAATTATGTGAACGCACGATCGAAACGTGACACACGACATAAATACACAATTATTTTGACTGCACATACAGTTGGCAGCATGCAATCAGATGATGGGAAGAAGCCCTACGATTTATATTCTCAACGTATCAAGGGGGAGGGGATCTTAAATTCAAGGAGAGACTCATCTTCGACGGAAACAGACGAAAATAACTAACGAAATGACGTTCACAAACAAACTTTACGTAACGCATTTTGAAGTGTATGTCGATTGCTAATCAAACGATGTCAATTTATGAAGTGAATGAGACATACTGAGATATGGGTTATTAATTAGATTAATCGATGAACTGCATACGAAAAGTGAGTAGCTGATGAAAATTTGATGAGTTTTATGTGGGAGATCACGTCAAAGAATTGAAGATTAACATTGTTTGTTTTTGCTTATTCAATATTATTATCAATGAACACGAACGTTACCGAAATGAATCCAGAAAATTGAGAATATAGATTGTACTCAATGGTTAGGGAGCTTGTTATCTAATTGTAAGAAAAACACCACTCCTGAGACAATCAAGGTGGCCGAAGGATAAAAGAGTACAAAGATTAACGACTTGAAACAGACAGCGTTGAAATTAAGTGTATATTAAGATAAGAAAACTTGGAACGATTAAATTTATACGACTCATATGGTATGGGAAAGAGGAAAACTCGAAAAATCACACTATAGCCCTTGAAACGAAGGCAAAGACAGTGAATTCCGCAAATTGTACAATTCCGTAAAACAACGAATGGACTGGCACTATTAATAATTAGTAAGAGGCAAATGAATGCGCTAAACAAGCTAATTTTTCATGAATATGACCTTGACATTTCGCCTCAAAAAAAAAAACTTCTCTATTGATATAGGTCTACTGATAAAGGAAAAAAATTATCATCTGCAACTGATCAAAAAACTGTATCTTAAACCTGATAAGAACATCTTCTCGGTGATAAGGAGTTATTATTTTGTGGCATTGTCGAACTCGAAATTAAATATCAGGGCACAAACATATCGCCAAAATATCGCTCGCTCACCAAAACTCATCGCTCGTTCAAATGCTCTGTTTTAATTCTCTCACTGCAATCGCCTGTTCATCTTGAAGTTTATCTTTGCTGATCAGCAATGGTGTTTCTTCGGAAATATTCCCAGCAATTTCCAATAATTGACACAATCTTGGTAACAAATAATCTCGTATAAACCCCCTCAAATGAACTCGCCGTCAAGCTGACCGAAAGCATGAAACTTTTCGAAATTTTTCATTTAAGGATTTATCACAATTGATAAAGTGATAAAAATGTTAACTGATAAAAGATCCAAGAAGATAATCAATAGTTTTGGCAAGAGCGAAAAGATCATACATGTTCATGAGTAAGTCACTGTGATTCAAAAAGAATTCTTTAAGTAAAAGAATTCAAACTATGTTTGGCATTGGATTGAGTTGATATGAAATAAGAGTCGTTAAAAGCTGACAAATTAAAGGGTTGTTTTCAATTGCAATCGAATCAAGCGAATGACTTAAGTGTGCTCAGTGATTAGGTACAATTAAAGTAGAACCATGAACTAACTATACATTCCTCATTACATAAAGGTTACATCAGCGTTTTAATGCATAAAGGTTTCACAAAGAATTAATGCTCTTACTGATGTTGTAATCAAACATCATTTCATCTGTTATCATTTCATATGAAATTATTACAGAATAAGATCATATTTAGCGAATTTACAATGCATGTGTCATCAGAGGCGTCAAGTTTCTCGTTCTTTCAAAGGCGTCAAGTTCATTGAAGAGAGAAAGAATGTCGTCACACGTTCACATCATATCGGTGATGTTACGTTGATGCATCATCATTTTGCTAATACTCCAATTTTTTTAATCACTTATCACTATTATCCGATCTCCTTCTCATATTGCCATTATCTTACGTCTTCAACAAATCGCACCGTATTGATTTCGATTTTGTTCAGGAGTATAAGATGCTGTATTTCAATTAACCGTGTTTGCCCGAATAACTTTACAAATGCGTCTTCTCATTCTCATTTTGACTCATCTTTTTGCTATATTTTGTCTGTTGGTACGCTCGTGAATGATATTTGCATATTTAGGTGGATATTTCCAGCAGATATTATGACTCAATGATAATTCAGATTCTTAAACTGTGATGTTACGGCTGATCAAAACATTTGCTATCAGAATAAGTGTACTATGTAAATTAGACGCGTACAGTTAAGAGATGAAAAAACTGGTCGAGATTTCAATGAGAATTGGATATGAAAATCGAAGATAGTGGGATAAAATTTGTGATTTGAGTTCAAAATCTAATTGATACCTTGAGTGAATTAATTCTCTCTCAACATATACTCTCGATTGAATATTGGTATCGTTAAAGTGAACCCATCAAATGCATTGAAGTTTTTGTGAGAAAATAGTCGCACGTTCAAACAGTTACAATCTTAATGCGATTTTATCAATTAGATGTACGTTAAGGACTAGAACTAATATCGAAATTACAATCTAACGTCTGAAAATGGAAATTTTCGAAAATATTTCACACCAAATCGAAATCTGCCAAGAAAAATTTGATATAATTACGAAACAAAAAATTTTGTTCATCCATTCGAAAAGAACCGGTTCTGGATGCTTTAAATGAGTTCCGTGATGACTGTTGTTTCTTTTGTTTTTGATACTACAAAAATTGACATCTTGTCACGCTTCCATCGCACGTCTTGCACAGCACATTTACTTTTTGAGTATATATCTTTATATCGCCATTTTTTATGACTACCACTATGATCACGAGT